ACCGGAAGAAGCGTCAAAACTCCCTTCTAGTTCAAGTGCTTCGAAAAAATATTTAGCTTGTTTAGCACAAACTGGTCCTGTTATTGTTGTTCCCTGTGCCCTTAGTTGATTAAACCAGGTCAGCATCGCTTTGTCGAGATCATCGTATGTTGATTTCTTCATGGTTTTTCTCTTCTTCATTCCGCTTGAATTAGAAGACGAAGCAAAGGAAATTAACTCATTCTTTTGTTTTTTCAAATCACGAACAGTTTGTTCTCCAATACCGTATTGCATTGCTAATTGTTTAACTACAGCTCCTTTTTCCAGCTGATTGATAATTTCAAGTTTCTGTTGAATACTTAACACAACACGCTTCCTTTTAAACCCCGACATTTTGCTAACGCACTTGAAGATCTATATTAAGAAACTGATACTTACTTTCACAATGCACTCTCACACTGAGATGGTACCGTTAAATAACCTGGGGCGGTGTATTTGTCCTTGAAACTTTCCAAAAATTCTTGCATTCTTTCACCCCCACCCTAGAACATTGTGTTCGCATAACGGGACGAAATAATGCAGAGCTCGGTTCACACTAGTGCGAAAATAGTGTTACAACTCACCATGTGAAACAAAAGTGAATGAATATTAAACAACATATAAACTTAAAAAAAAAGCCCCGGTTAAGCCGCAAACCGGTTAATCCGCCCCCGGATAATCGAGAGTTGACTGTATGTGAAGGACAAAATTTATGAGTCTGTAACAAACAGTAAGAACAAGAACATTAGAGACCTGTATAGAGGAATAAATGACTTTAAGAGGGGTCAACCACCTTGAAGTTACTTAATGAAGGATGAGAATGGTGGTCTGCTGGCAGACTTTCACAACATTTTGAATAGGTGGAGAGACTACTTCTCTCAGTTATTGAATGTACATAGGGTCAGTGATGTCAGGCAGACAGAAATGCATACAGCTGAGCCGTTAGTACCTGATCCTAGCCCTTTTGAGTTTGAAATTGCTATTGCGAAAATGAAAAGTTATAAATTTCCAGGTAGTGATCAAATTCTGGCAGAACTTATTCAGGCAGGAGGCGAAATATTACGTTCAAAGTCCATAAGATAATTACTTCTGTTTGGATTAAGGAAAAATTGCCTGATCAATGGAAGAAGTCTATGATTGTACCAGTTCACAAGAAGGGTGATAAAACTGACTGTAGTAATTATCGGGGGATATCACTGATATTATCTTCATACAAAATTTTATCCAATATTCTCTCAATGTTGAGTTCATACATAGATTAAATTATTTGGGATCATCACTATGGGTTTCATCATAACAGATCAACTATGGATAAGATCTTTTGCATTCGTCAGATACTGGAGAAAAAGTTGCAGTAGAATGAGATAGTACATCAGCTATTTGTTTACTTCAAGAAAGCCTATGATTCAGTTAGGAAGGAAGTATTGTGCAATATTGTGATAGAGTTTGGAGTACCCATGAAACTAGTTAGGTTGAGTAAAATGTGTTTAAACGAATTGTACAGTGAAGTCCATATAAGTAAACACTTGTCTGATCATCCTTTTTATTAAAGCACCCATCAATAATGCAACAATATTTTAAAATATAAAAGACATCTAGAATATGTTTCTCACTAAAAGTGTAACTTTAATACTTTGTGATGTTGTTAAAATCATGAAATGCCATTAAGATGCTAAAAGTGTACAGGAAGACCGCACTAGTAACACATATACAAGAGAAATATGGCACAGAAAAACTACGATAGCTGAAAAACTATACAATGACAGCATTCTAGTCACGAAACAAAAACTAAACGATGACGTGGATGGAAGCACGATGGACAAGTGAACAGTGCAGTGGTCTCCCCGAAAACAAAAGAAAAATTGCCTGATGATGATCCATGTGTGGTTGAAACATGTTGTGAAGAGAAGAAGCATATGAAAAACTAGAGATATTTTAGTAATCTGATAATCACTTTTAGCGTTAAAGTTATACTTCTAGTGTCTTAATGACATTTTATGATTTTAACATCATCATAAAGTAGAGAGAAGTCCAGTTATGTCCTCATGCAAACTTTGCTTTTTATGGCTGTAGGTTGGAACTGTCTGACAACTAGTGATGGAAGTCTGCCATATTTAATTTCAACAAAATTTGTGACATGGTTTGTGGGATTCATGAAAACACTGTGGTCTTATTACTAAACTTTATTATGCATGAATGTGGCTGGAAATTGGAATTTCCCAGCAACTTTGATGGAACTGTCCCATATTGTGTTTTAAGAAAATAGGTCCAGTGATATATAGGTCCCTGATATATCATTCCAGCCACATGGACAGACATGACCTTCAAATAATGCATTTTGTACTTTGCTAAGAATGCTGAATAATCAAAATATTTAAAACCATATGTAACCCTACATTAATGTCACACAGGTTTCACACTTAGAAAAAAGAAAGCATGAAAATTAAGCCAGAATGTTTCAGATGACAATATACATAAATCAGACGTCCATTATCATTTAATGTTTCAGAACCTGAACATGTTTCCATCACCAGATTGTAAGGGAGGCAACCTTCTTCCCACTGCACTGATTGAAACTAGCAGTTTATAATGTACCCAGCCGAATAGAATCTGTCCTCCCTCTCACGTGATGATGGAAACAGATCCAGTTCTTGAAACTTTGTGTTTAAAGAAATAATGACACTGCATAATGTCCAAAATATTAGCTGTACTTAAAGTATAAAATTATTTAAAAACCTTCTTATGAGAAAATTATGTAATGGAAGATTCTTTCTTCATACTATTTACTTTGTTTGGATAAGGGAATTTGGGATGGTTTCAACACACAGCACTCATACAGATGCAGTAAGGACCTTCAGAATTATGGTTAGCAAGCCTAGTGGTAGTAACTACTGAGAGATGTAGATTGAAAGTAATACTAAAACATATCTTAGGAAAATTGGATATGGGGAAATGAATTTGGTTGAAATAGGTGAGAGTGGAGTTCAGTGTTGGGATTTTGTATGTGATAGTAGTGAAACTTTTAATTGCTGAAAAACTTGCTTAATGACCTTATATCCAGTGCCTAGTCGGAGTTGGCATTTTGGTGAACCTCCCGGTTAGTCAACCAGGAAGGAAAGCGTCTAGTGAGCTGTTCTTTGCTTTGGTGGTGGCATGATGGGCTTATGGCTGTGTATTTGCCAAGCCATCAACTATGTCATCATTGTACCTAGTTCCCTTTCTTTCCACGTCCATACTCTTTGTTATCTTTCTTAGCATTTGGAGTAAATACTGTTCATTGAATATTATATTGTAGCATCCTGCTACACTTAGTATGAGTCATAAAGAGACACAGTATAGCACAGCAGGAAGAGCAGTACATCACCCTCATTACACAAGTGCATAGAGGGGATCATATTTTATTAACCAAACTCACGATAACAGAAGCACAGCAATTTCCTCAGCTGTCATTTTAAACACCTGATGATTTCCAAATTGGTCAATACATGTAGTAAAAACCTTTTAGAAAGTTAAAAGTTATGTGATGTGTAAAACCTCTTAAGTGAATAACTTTTAGTAAGTTTTATAGGTTGATGTGTCACCTATGAGACAGTGGAACCAGCAACTTTTGATACTGTTCATAGAAGCTGAGCTATGCAGTCATGTAGATGGATCTCTCTCACATGCATTTGTCCTCTGTCAATAGTCCATAGCATGTTGTGTCACAGTGGATGGATGGTCAGGAAAATGTAGTTTAATAAAAAATTTAAATGTCTCATAAAGATTGTAATACATATTACATAATGTTTCTTAATTTACCATGCAGTAAGAGCCTATATTTTAAAATATTCTCTCATAAATTACAATATTCATAAAAAATGAACTGGAACTTCCATTGAAGTAATGCAGTAGTATGTCTATTGGAAAATCCTGCACTGTATGCAAAGCTACTGTAATAACATTTTATGGCTACATGTAGCAGCTGTGCATATGGTGTAACAGTGGAACAAGATTTCGCATTTTACTTTTATTTTGGCATGTAGCACTTGAATAAAATAGAACCAGTTGATATGCTATGTTAGTTTATTATTTTTATTTGACTTTTGTTTCTTAAAATTTGCTTTGAGAGATGATCTTAATGTTTGAACACTGATATGTCTATACAACTTCAGTTTAAACTCAATGTGGTTGTCTGTGTTAGGTAATGCAGTTTTACATAAAATTCTGTGTCAAGAAACAATGGAATTCAAATGTCATTCTCAAATAAAGCTTACTGCCGTCCAATTTTGAGCCCATTCAAGTTAAGTAACATTGACATATCTTTGTCTAAGATCTATTTTAATATTATCCTATCATCTAAGGCTGTCTCCAAAGTGATCACATTTCACTGTGATTTCCATCCTAAACTGTGAGCACGTCTTGTTTCTTCCACATGTCACATATCCTGTCTGTATCCTCTGCTTTATTAATAAGATTTAATCTTAACTTTATGGACTGGTGGGTAGAGATTATTGAGTTCTTTCAATAATTTCGTTATGTAGAATATTAATTCTCAGTAAATGACTCTTTGTTTGATGATCTTTAAATGAATTTCTGTGGTCTATAAAATTTTATAGTTTTACGAGTGATTTAAGACTGGAGTTCATGAACTCCTTTTATTTATCATTCATCATTGGTCATGCTTATCAAGACTTGATTGTTATAATGGTAAGTGGGTTGTAGTGAGGGGAACCAGGACTGCTTAAAACTTGGCATGTGAAGCATATCCGTCTGGAATCCTTATGTCTGTTTTGATAGGACAGTTTCAAGTTTCAAAGAGTCCTGTTCAGTTGCAAATAATCAGTTCATTTGATTAACTCATAATGCATTAATTAATCCATTGACTCACTTCATAATTCATTCAGGTAGTCCTAAAGAGTCTGTTTCATGCTAGAGATATGAATGAACATGTGATGAATGTTTTCAAACTTCTTACATCAATGTTATTATTGTTAGGTGTCTCCAACCTTGCAGTACGAATTGATGCTAGTCAGGATGTAATTCGTGTTGGTGACACTGTTGATATCCGATGCTCAGCATCAGGAGATACTCCTGTCACATTCTCATGGAGCAAAGTGGGGGAAAGGCTGGAAAACAATGTTCAGCTTGCTGGAAACTTGTTGAGGTAAGATTTATTTAGATTAGTTGCTATTTATGTAAAATATGTAATTTATTTATTTAAGGAAGAAGAAACCCTGAGAAGACTGCAGAACTTAAGTTCATGATTAAACCGTAAGGTGATGTGACTTAATGCAGAAAATTCTTGTTACTATAGAAATCTGGCCTTGCAAGTTGGCAGATAAAATTTGAAAGATTCGTAATTATGATAACTCGCAAGTCACCAATTTTTGTGTTCAAGAACTGTTGCTGTACAGAATTTTGTGTACCCAGTTACAGTGAATCATTAACTATTTGTGACAAACAGAAAAGTAACAGGATATTTTGTGGCTGCCATGTTTATACTATTGCTTGAGCTTAGCTCTGTGGCTGCCATTGAAGGGGGAGGGGGGTGCACATGCCAGCTTGCACACACCTCTAGTTTGATCCAAAGACCGGGCTTGGAATCTTCTTGGAGAGGGAGGGGGGAGGCAGGGGATGGGGAGAGAGAGAGAGAGAGTCGGACAGAGAGAGAGACAGACTGCAAAGCATTAGGACGGACAGTCTTAGTCAAGTTGAAATATAGATGTGAAACAGAGAGTGTTGCAAATCATGAGTTAAGTGAGTGTAGTGTTGTGTAACAAATCACTTAGCAAATTAGTTAGACCAGAAAGTCAGTAGGTATTTAAGTTGAGTATAGAGGACAAGAAATACAGTATGGGCAGAGAGAAGACCAAGAAAGAGAGGACAATGAGTTGACCAAGCAGTGGCATTGGACAGAAGTAACATCAGGATTGTAGAGGCTTCACATGGTTGGAGAATAATTTCTTCAAATAATGATGAAACGCCCAATACACTATTTTACAGTGCCTTTGTGCATGATATTTCTTGTGAAGATGAGATTTGTTCAGCTTTTCAAAGGTTCCTTGTTCTTCATGGACCATGAAAGTTCAGTATTGTGATCACAGGCGCCTTCCGTTGGATCTTAACCTGAGCTAATTTAATCCAGTCTACACCCTCGTACTCTGTTTCTTAGGATCCATTTTAATATAAATTTTGTATCATCGTATCTGTTCCCAAACGGTCTCATCCCTCTAGGTATGTCATCTAAAATTTGATGTAGATCTTTCAGCTCTTGATTATTGTGGGATTTGTCGATACTCCAATAGACAACCACTTCGGAAAGTTTGTGGGCCCTGAAAAGGGCGTTTGTTCCTTGATAGTAGGCCTGTCTGAAAGACTAGTGATGTAGGGCTGCGTGCGCCAATAGAAATAGATAGATGTTGGCTATGGTGTGTTGGCTAATGTTGCGGCAGCTGAGTTAGTTGTCCGGTCGCAGTGCGGAAGTTGCCGGATGTTGCCTGGTCGCAGTGCGGCAGTTGCTGGAAGTTGCCTGGTCGCAGTGTGACAGTTTCTGGAAGTTGCCTGGTTGCAGTGCGGCAGTTGCCGGAAGTTGCCTGGTCACAGAGCGTGGTTGCTGGGAGACATCTGGTCGCAGAACGCAGTTGCTGGAGTGGCGACAGCTGCGCCAGTTGCCCGGTGTGTTGGGCATGACCACCGGAGAGCCGAGGCAGCCGTCCCTGATGCAGTGAAAAGCCGATGACTCCGAAGACCGATTGCTCTGGTCTAGGTGTGATGGCTGACTGGCTGATGTGGTCACTGATGATTGCAAGCTTTGGGCTCTGCCTTTTATACCATGCTTGATGGAGGAGCGAAACTCGCAGTTGCGATTGTGAGCGCCGATTGGCTAGCACATGTAATGATCTGAATGTGGGCAAGACAGCGAGTGCTGTATAAATGCGAGCATTGGAAGCAATGTGATTGGTTAGCCCGCATGATGGTGAAAAGTGAGCTGAACAGCAGGGGCTGTATAAATATGAGAGCTGACAGCAATGTGCTCTTGACTTAGGAGTGAGTGTTGTCTGTTGATCGGCGAAACAGTGTGATGGTATGTGGGATGTTCCCACATTATAAATGCCTCACCCGTGTCATCCTCTGTGATTTGACATTTATTGTTTCATTGAATCTTAAGTGAGCGTAACATTGTTAGTATTGAAAAAGTGCAGCATGCCCATATGCCATTACTGTATTGCAGTAACCAGCCAGTAAAGAGTAAAGTAAAGTAAAGTAAAGTAAAGTGAAGTTGAGCTAAGCTAAGCTAAGCTATCCCTGTAACAGGCTCTAAAGGTCCGTCGGGTTGTGAGACGTTGAGGGTCCCACATTACCTAGACAGTCGGCTCAAAGATGGCGGTAAGGTGTCAGTAAAGAGTAGGCACTGTAATAAAGTTGGTTATTGACATGCCAAAACGTTTATATGAAGTGTAATTTTCAGGCAGTTTTGTTGGCATACTTCATGTGTCCTACTTACAGAGTGACTGAAGTGAGGCCAGCCAATGGTGGTGTGTACCGGTGTACTGCTCGAACAAGCACAGGCTCATATGATGAAGACTATGTGCTTGCAATACAAGGTAAAATAAACAAGCAATTTTTATGTTACCACTTACTTATCCATAAACCCCTCTTTTCTGTCTCTTATGTTCAACTTCATTTAGGTTAGGGATTTTGTATAAAATGTTGGCATAATACAAAAATAATTCTTGCTGTCATGATTAGAAAAATTGCATTTTTATCCTTTACTGGAAATAAGAAAAATAGAAAAGCAAATGCTTATACATGTAGTGACCAGTTATTAGCCTTTAAACTTTTTTGTTTCTCATAAAATGGCTCATTATAGAAAAAAATGACATGAAGCATATTCTGCATTGAGATCTGTAAGTTTAATGTGAACTATTCATTGATATGAATATTTAGCAGTGGGCAAAATGAAATCAGTACATGCTGTTCTTTGAAGTGGTAGTTACATTAAAGGTGAAATAAGAGTTTGCTTGCTGGTCTTCACTGGAGACATGCTGTAAGAAATTACATTCTTTCTTGTTAGTACATATGGTATAGTTTCAAATGCTATTCTTCAAAGATATTACCACAGCCAGACCCTTCTCTAGTTGAGTCTCTAGCTCACGTACTCTGTACATAGGTAGGGTTCACTGGTTTGGAATAGGACATAATGAATTCTGTGGTACTAAGGTTATAGTGTGTTAATATTGAAAAAAATATACATTGAATGAGCTGGACTGTGCACGTGGTGTCACATCAGTGCAACTCATGGCCAGTGAATGTTAGTGAAATATTTCCTGGAGTCATCACACTTTCATGATATTCACTGCTGTAATAACTAAATCACACTTCCATTTCTGTATTTGCTTACACATTCTGGTGTCAACTTTGGTAAGTGTGCACTAATTTGACCCGGCTGTGATACAGTGCATAAATTGCAATATAAAATTGTGGTATCAGGTTGCCATGACTGAGTGCGTTTGGATGCAAGTGCCAATGTTTTGCTACCCTTGCTATGAAGGAGTATCATGTGCATTCATTTATTAGTTTCATAGTTATGTTTGGGTGCTTTTCAGAATATTTGTATCAGTATATAGAGAATGGTACATTTCTGGTATGGGCATGTTATTATGTTAATTGTTTAAATGTTGTTTAAATGATTTATCTAATGTAAAAATGTCAGAATGTTGCACTGAGTAAACTTCTCATAAAACTGTTTTATGATTGAAACACACAGCATGAAAATGTTCAGCTTGATCATGACATTTGTGTCCTTCCTTTGCTGTAAATATGTGCTCTNGTTGCTGGTTTAGACAATTTACAAACCCTACACACTAATCTATTCACTCTATCTTCAGTAGTCTTCATGTATTAATAACGCGGGAGCTATTCAAGTCTCTCTAAATTACACACCCCCAATATAACTGTACTACAGCACACACCAAGTCTTGAAGACACACAGTAAGTCTTCACTGGCTGACTTCTCAGTTATTGCACAATGTCATATAAAATCTTCTAACCACACGTCCGGGTCTTCTTTCCGCGACTGCTGCAATATTTCAACCAACTGCTTAGGCATTCCAGTCTCTCTTATAAACCCTCAGTCAGACAGTGGAAAACCCACCTCGCTTCACTGTTGCGTAAACACCGTGTTTACAGGTGTTGCTGAGCACCGCTGTTGAGAGTTGTTTATTGCTGCATACCAACCAGCGCACTTCAGCTCAGCTTGGCATGGTATGGAGAAACACTGCTTTCCTTACTGTTGCATAACCTCGTTTCCACTGTTGTGTAACTTGGCAACCGACCGTTTATCAAGGGTCTGTCTTCGTGGTAACTCATTCTACCTCCCATTGCCCAGCAACAGGTACACATATCACAGTATATATGAGGCAGGACACCTGCTCTCTTTGGGAGTGCTGACAGTTTCATCTTGGGTTGGAAACCAAAAAAAAAACCCATGCAAGGTCATGTCAGTGGTTCATTCCACATTTAGATGTGACTGTTTATGACCTGGTCAGCCAAATAGAGCCCAGCTTTATTTTGAGAACTGGGGAGTAAATATTCATCTGTCCTCGCATGTTAGTGCTTGTAGAGCTTTCAAGGAAGTGTGACGTATTCAAGGATTGGTTTTCAGTAGCGAATTATCAGTTAAAAAGTCAGTGTCAGACTCATATATTTCTTTATATATCATTTTTATTTTGTGTCTTGGAAGAGGTATAAACCTACTGAGCAGTATTACTTTGCGAGTAAAAGGCATCTTTGCAGGAGCAGCATTTTCTATTGCAAAAAGTGTGATGTTGCGCTGTGTGTCGCGGACCACTTCGAGAAGTGGCATGCATGTCAGAGTGTGAGGTATCGTAAACTGTGAAGTGACGCAGTTCAAACTCTCATAGTCTGAACAAAATATTATTGTATATGATTATATTTACAATATCACCAAGTCTCAAGGTTGAAAAAACTACAGGCAAGTCCTCTAGATTTTTATAATATATTTTGTATTTCATGGCAAAATAATCACAGTTAATTTTCATTTGTAAAAATTGCTCTTTTGTATATATGTAGAAAATTTTATTGCCTTTCAGGGAGTTTTTAGTTCGTATTTCTATGTTGCACAGAACGGAGAATTTGTATATATTTTTTTTAAAGTCTGCAATGTTAAAGACTCAGGGCCATTTAAATTCCGGCCACAGAGGGCTGCTGGCAATTTAAAAGTACGTGTGTTAAAGGTTAAGACTAGTTCTTCCATAATTCGTGTCATATTACATGGAAGTTTCCATTCAGTTCTCCATACCCACTTCATTACTCTAATCTGCTCCTTCATCGCAACCTCCCTTTGCAGAGAACAGTGATGCAGGCTGTGGGTGAATTTTTAAGGTAATTGTGGAAAGTGAGTAACATTTGAAGGTAAATCCCTCTACCCGAGCGAGACAGAGGCATCAGGTTTACAAAATCAGGCATTCTGTGTTACTGTGCCACTTTTTTATGTTTGCATGTTCATTTTAAGCTGTGCATTATTACCAGCCCCTAAACATCGATTATGTGACGTTTTTGCTCAAAGCAAGAACTGTGGAGCCAGAGGAACAGCCGTTGCTAGTGAACAGTTATGAATTGACATTCGTTTCTAGGCAACAGCTGCAAAAGAAATCTGAAACTGATGTAACAGTGTCAGAAAGGCCACTGCGTGTTGTCTTGCTGCTTACATTTGTTGAGACTGTTCATTTGCACTTTCCATTGCAGGCTATGCTAACCATCCCAGATGTACGCGCAGTGGATGCGGGGACCTATGTGTGCACAGCCCGAAACAGGAATGTGAAAATGGACATCCCAACTGTGCTGGTAGTGACTGGTGTAGTGCCATATTTTGCCCAGGCACCAACTTCTTTCATGGCCTTGCCAACATTGCCTGATGCTTATTTGCAGTTCAACATTGAAGTATCGTTCAAACCTGAAAGTTCTGATGGTAAGAACACAACACTGTTTTTCTTTGAACTCATCATTACCATCCATGATATTTCCACTCTTGTGAACTGGTGTATATAATGTGGAAGTTCTTAAATGGAACAGAGAATTGCATTTTCTCTGCAGTTGTATTAGAGCTTTAGTACTCCAACTTCATCAAGTTCATATCAATTTTAAGTTAATTCACATAATTTAATTTGTTTCATTCTGGTCTGTCACACTACTAATGTAATAATTTAAATAAGAAAAAATCTTAACCAGTCACACTGGACGGAAATATTTAACTTTTTCTTTCACTTACATAATTAATGGAAGTGCTCTGTAATTGACCCCCCATACTCTAATTATGCTATACATGATCTTTAACAGTCAGTTGATATTCAGCTGTGAAAATTCCCTGGTATTTTGGTTCCATTTTCTTATTACCACAGAAGTTCACTGGCCCATGTGCTGAACCAGTTATGTCCATTCCCATCTCAGCCCCTCAGTCAGCTTTCCCTTAGTAGGTTTTGCACCCGGTTTTATTCCCATGCATGCTACATATACAAGGAAGTCCAAGATGGTGGGTGGTGTGGATGTGGAAATGAGTGATGATCCAGTTATTAATACGGAAATAATGAAACCCTCAGTATTACAATGTCAGTGTTGTGTAGGAGTAAAGTGAGAAGTGAGTAAGATCACAGTGGAATTGGAATCTGCCCTAAAAATTATAGAAATTTTGAAGGAAGAGCTGGGCATTGCAGATGCTCAGATGCTCAGTAAAAACAACTACAGAGCAAAAAAATGAACCATTTATGCAAATCAGACAGACTCAAAAAACTATCAGGTATGAAAAATAAGGATTTTTTATGGTAAATGAAGGTGCTCCAAAAAGAAATATTTCCTTAAATGGAGTACCAAAAAAGAAAATGATATCAAATTCTTAAATATTTGCCATCAGAACATTAGAGGTTTAAGGGGGAAAGCAAATGAGCTGTTAAGTCATCTACACCCAGCCTCCCCACACATATTATGTTTTACAGAACATTACATGAATTTTTTGGAATTGCAACAGTTGAACATAAATTCTTATAAACTAGGAGCAAACTATTGTAGAACCTTGTATGAAAAAGGAGTATGCATCTATCTACACACAAGCTTGAAATTTCTAAATATAACCTAAAAAAATATTGTAAAGAAAAAAATTGTGGTATGTGCTGTTAAGTTAAACCTGAGCTCCAACAGACTGTGTATAATTACAACATATAGAGCTCCAATATATAGAGCTCCGACTGGAAACATTCATACATTCTTAACAAAACTAGATACAATACGTATATACCTCAACACAAGAATATATTATTTGTGGGGATATTAATATAAATTACCTTCTTGATAGTGAAAAGAAAAACAAATTAGATACCTAATTGAGAACTTATAATTTAATAAGTACGATAAATTTTCCCACCAGAGTTCAAGGAAATTCTGCTACAGCCATTGATAATATTTTCATGAATATTACTAGAAGGGAAAATTATTCTGTAAGGCCTATAATAAATGGATTGTCTGATCATGATGCACAGTCCATAACATTTAAAACAATAAACATGAGAACACATGCTAAACAATTTAAAATAATAAGGAAAATAAACACACAATAAATGACATTTTAATTAAACTAAGTTATGACACATGGGACTCAGCATTTTCTAGTGATGATGTTAATATAATGTTTAACTCCTTTTTAGACACTTACTTGAAAATTTACTATTCCAGTTTAAAAAAAAAAATCAAAATAAGTGATTGGGTTACTGTAGGAAAAATAACATCCTGTAAGCATAAAAGAGTACTCTATATGGAGCGTAGAAACAGTAATAATTCAGAATTAAGAAACTATTATAAAAAATACTGTAAAATTTTATCTAAGGTCATTAAGGAAGCTAAAAAGCTAAAATATGATAACAAAATTCAAAATTCCAAAAATAAAAATAAAGCCATATGAGATATAGTAAAATTATAAACTAATAAGAGGCCAAATAATGAAGAAATATGCACATTAAAGGTGGATGGAAAATGGATTAAAGAAGAGCAAGTAATTGCGGAAACCATTAACAATTACTTTTTATCTGTAGCTGAAAATAAAAATGCAAAAAATAAACAACTAATACTAATATTAGTTACCTTCCAGACACTACTCCCTTTCAGTATTTAATGAAAACTTTTATAAATCCCTTTCCACATATTAAACTTAAATCTTTATCAACTAAGGAAGTTGAAAATATAATTAAATCTCTCAAAGCAAAAAACTTATGGATATGATGAAATATCTACTAAAGTATTAAGAATGAGTTCCTTTTTCATTAGCTCTCCTTTGACTCGCATATGCAACAATTCATTATCACAAGGAATTTCCAACTGTAGGTCTATATCACTTTAACTTCGTTCTCTAAGGTATTAGAAAAAGCTATGAGCATTCAATTGATTGAGCACTTAAATAACAATAACATTTTAGTGGAAGAACAATTTGGTTTTAGAACAAAATCTTCAACAGATGAAGCTATATACAAGTTAGTGAATGAAATCTGTAAGAAACAGCAAAAGCTTAATAGAAGGCATTTTTTGTGACCTAGAAAAGGCCTTCGATTGTGTTAATCGTGAGGTTCTGTTGTCGAAATTGGAGTTCTATGGGATAAAGGGTAAAGCGAAACTATGGCTTGAATATTATTTCAGAAATAAGATATCAAAGGGTTTTAATTACAAACATAAATCTTAATCTCAATGAATTTTTGACATGGGGCAAAATTAGACATGGTGTCCCGCAAGGTTCAATTCTGGGTCCATTGTTATTTCTCATTTATATAAACGATTTACCCAAAACTATAAATGATAAAACTGTACCTATATTATTGGCAGATGACACTAGTTTGTTAGTTAACAGTTCAAACTATGATGATCTCTGTGTAAATATAAATAATGCTTTTCGTAGTATAAATGAATGGTTCAAGGTAAACCAACTTTCTGTAAATTTTAACAAAACCCACTACATTCAGTTTACAGCTAGAAGTAAAAATCCTAAATCTGAAATAAAAATTGTATATGATAAAAAACAAATTACATCTATATCCAGTATTAAATTTCTTGGAATATTCATTGATGACACAATGAGCTGGAAATACCACATTGAGTATATTAGTTTTAAACTAAGTGCAGTCTGCTACATAATAAGATCGCTTAAACCATACACGTCCATAAATACCTTAAAAATGTAAGATTTGAGGCTTTCAGACTGCTTTCTTCACCTTAAAAATGGTTTGTCACTCTTATTTTAATTCTGTTATAAATTATGGTTTACCCTTTTGGGGTAACTCACCCCAAAGTATAAACATTTTTAGAATGCAAAAGAATATAATTAGAATTATGTTGGGATGCAGAAGGAGGGATTCGTGCAGGAACTTATTTAGACAATTAGAAATCTTACCTGTGGCATCTCAGTACATACTATCTCTTATGCTCTTTGTGATAAGAAACAGAAACAAATTCAAAGTAAACAGAGATTCAGAGAACAAATACCAGACAGCAAAATAAATCTCCATCAGCCTCTTGTAAATTTGAGTAAATACCAAAAGGGAGTTTACTGTTTAGGAACAAAGGTCTATAATCATCTACCACAATATATTAAGGATATATTGAGTGACACTAAGAGTTTTGAGGTACAATTAAAACAAATTTTATATTTACATTCTTTTATTCTTTACAGGAATATTTTGGTTATAAATCTTTTTAAGATGTGAGTAGTTGTCTTGCTCTACAATTAAAAGAAGACAAGATTGTCAGTCTGTGTTCTGGTTTTTAGATGCTTATTTTAGATATACATAATCTTTATATTACTGTGTACTAGTCTTTATTTCAATTTATTATATAATTAATGTATGTTATTCAAAACTCATTAATGGCATTGTGTTTTAACTATTGAATTTTTAATTAATAGACCTGTATTTCATTCATTCATTCATTTCATTTCCATAAATCCATACAGAAACAAGTTCCATGAGATGTGGAAATAGTCAAGTTTGAATCTTAACATAGATACAATAAAAACTGTATAAAACTGTACAAGGTTTGCCATCACTTTTACTACTAAAATTAACTTATTTATTTTATTGTAAATGTTTAGCAGTATTTTATACAAATGTGTATGTTACTGGATGACAACTGTAATACTTAGTTGTGACTGTAACTAGGACGATCTCCACATCCGCATGAGAATGTACTCTCGACAGGATTTATGGAAGGTGAATAAATGAAATGAAATGCTGCCCATCTGACTCTCCCTGATTGGAAAGATCGCTGTCTTCTGGGGTGTGTTGCCTATAGTCTTATAGATTTTACAGATGTTTCGTAGGAACCTGCTGCCTCCATCTTCAGGGTAGAAGATGGAGAGAGCAGGTTCCTCCAAAACATTGGTAACAATCTACCAGACTCCATGGTGTCAGATAGCAGAACTTATTAATCTTCATAGTTACCACTATGAGAACCCCGAAATCTACTTAATTTTACAAGGGCTATTTGGAAAGTAACCTTGGTTTATTTTAGGCAACTAATGTAGGAGAGGGGGAGAGCTCACTCATGCAAGGTAGAGCCACATGCCTCATGGCTTTGTAAACCATTGTATGTCTGGTCACCTAGTGTTTGTTCTTGTCACCGCAGGGTGAGTTATGATGTGTTCTGCGATTGATAATCTCACCAGCTGCGAAATTTATGCTGTTATCTGCTTTCTTCACCCTGAAAGCATGAGTGCTATGAATTATTCACAGCAGTTTACAGCCAAAATGTAATGAGTGAAGGAACCGTAAGACAATGGTGTAGAATGTTCAGAGATGAGTGGATGGATGAACAAATGTTCACAATGAAGAGTGAAATGGTTGACCACCTGTCATGCATGTTAAATGATTTGTTCAAAGTGTTGACCAAAAGAATTTGTGAGAGAATGTGCTTCATAATATTAGAACTTTTGTATGATTTCCACAAATTTCACACACTGTTCTGTAGGAGATTGTCACAGTTAGGCTAGGCTGTGATAAGTTTTGTGGAAGGTGGGTTCTGAAAATGGTCATGGGTGCACACAAAACACAGAGAATCTTTGACTTTTGACTTTTTTAGCATGATGCAGCAAAGATGACAATGAATCTCTCAGTCACATTGCATGAGTAAGAAGTATGAGGTCAGGGGGGGAATGCCTGTGTGCATGTGTGTATGTATGGGAAAGTGCTGAATAATTGGTGAAATATGATGATGCTTTGCTGTTCCAGGTTTAATCCTTTACAATGGGCAGCAGAAAGAAGGTGGTGGAGACTTTGTGTCCCTTGGCTTGAACAACAGCTATGTGGAGTTCAGATTTGATGTTGGCTCTGGTCCCGCTGTAATTAGGTCTGATCACCCGATCCGTATTGGGGAGTGGCACACTGTCAAACTGAGCAGGACCAGGAAGCAAGGTAATGAGTCGAATATAGTGAAGAAAATGTTTTGTTCTTTTTATTTCATAGTTCTTGTGATGTCTTATGATCAGGATGCTTAAAATTGTCAATTCCAACTAAACCAACATTGACCAAAGCTCAGCCTCTCGCAGAGATTCAAGATTTAATGAATGCACCTTTTGCATTACATGTCATGCCTGTAGCAAGGCCAGTTTTTATTTAAATTCTATACCTTACAGAGTTATCTTGTTACTATACCATTCCTCCTGTAATAAGGCCCATAATGGTATTGTCATGTATCCTGGTAATGCGACAGGCAGTTAATTGGTTTTGGATTAGATGAATTGATTTATTGAGCAATTCCACCAGGCAGAACTGCAGATTATTATAATACGCTCGAATTACTTTTAACTGTAAGACACAAAAAAAAAAGGTCTTCTGTGTCTGCCTCTCAAAAGCACATTAGTTCACTTTTTCCTTCTTCCTCTGACTTCTGTGTCCGACATCTCGCTTTTCGCTTCTAACTTCTGGCTTCTGAAGTGGCTTCCATTTACATCTGTTAGGCAGCTGGAGTAGCAGACACCCCCTTGAACAGTTCTGGTTTCCATTTCTGCGGTAACCGTCTGCCCATGCGCACGTTATTGTGTGAACGTGTTTACATTTGCCACCCAGACAATGATGCATTCACTTCTTATTTTAGCAGAAACATGACTACTGAGCCATTGTCTAGCATAATATTCTGGTTTTTTGGGCAGCATGCCACAATATTATGCAGTGCTCTGATAAATGTGATTTATCTGAATAAGCTATACCCAGTGTCAACTGTAATCTGCAGTAACTGTGCAATGCCTCATATGTCTGGAACAGTATGCAGTAGCATCTTCAAAATTGAATCATCGCAAACATCGCAGCCATCTTTTTTGAAAAGATTTGGACAGTGCATGAGTGTGAATGGTGGGTATGTTAACCATAATTTGTAAGAGCTGTATCAGAACTCTAATATTGTGTATGGTGTGGGGCTTATATAAGATTTTTATACCTTCATAGCTCAGTAGGTATGTCCTGAAGGCAAGGACAAGTGCAGGTAACCTTTCTGTTCATTGCCATAATTATATTGGCTTTTCAAGCTCTTGCTGCTAATATTTGGTTGTGCATTTATTCATTAAATGTTGCACATTTGTCTGCTAGTATGTGTGCAATGTCACGCCCTAATTGAAAGAACTGGATGAATACTGTGAGTTGTTATTAAATTTGACAATTCAGTAAATTTGATTTGTTTCATTCTGGTCTGTCACACTAACAATTATAAATACAAACCACTCCGTCCAGTGTGACATGTAAGTTTTTACTACGTTAAAACTTATCTCCCTTACATGTTTCAGTCTTTATGGGCCATCTTCAGAGGGAACATGATTACAAACTGGAAACTACCATCACAATAGGTGTTTTGATTTATTTTAATACATATCCTTATATCCTATAATGCACAGTACACATAAGGTCGAACGTTTCACAATCACAGCAGCTTCCTGGTGTTGTAAAGTTTTTAAAAGTTTCTTGATGTTATTTAAAAAACCTTTATTGTCAACAGTTAACATTTTTTAAACCACGTAGGTTCGTGTCCGTACTCCTATCGTCCTTCTTGTATGGGGTAGATTTTGTGCCGCCTGTCTATCCTGATGAGGAGGTTCTTGATGTCATCCAGGGTTTGATCGTGGCTTGCTGTGTTGTTTTCACTGTTAAAGTATTCAGAAATGAAACAAATTTCACCTGTGATGTTAACTAAAAAATTTCAGCTCTTTCTTTGAACTCATTCAGTGTGGGCGTCATCTGTTAAAGGTTTCTTGGTGTCTCTGTCCCCATATGCAGTGCAGTATTCCAGCATCAACAGTTTTGGGCTGTAGTTCCTATGATTGTGGACAGATATGATACTCAGGAATATGTAGTATTATATCTTCTCAGCAAAGAAAGAAAGAAAGAAAGAAAGAAAGAAAGGCCGATCACTGTATCATGTAGCAGTCCACACCAGACATTTATTTAGGACCGGCTGTTAACGTGTTTCTGTGTAGAGTGAGGATATCCTGATCCAAGATCGATATTGTCACGTATCCTGGTAATGCAACAGATAATTAATGGGTTCCAGTTTTGTATGAATTGATTTATTGGATATTAACCAGGTGGAACTACAATTAGTTATAACACAATCTTACTGTAACTATAAGACTTCATGACTACAAACAATGATAACAGTATAAAGGTTATTGTGAGTACACCACATAAAATAAAGGCTTCACTTCTGACTTCTTACTTATCCTTCTGTGTTCTGTCATATTCTGTCTTCTATTGGTCAGTTCTTTCTCTGAGGTAGGTTTTAGTCAAAACGTATGGATGTATGAATGTATCACCCCCTTCTTCAGTAGAGTTTTCACATTCTTTGTTGTTACTTTTGTTGTTACTTTACTTTGGAGGTTCGTTGCCATTTGAATGGAAACGTTTCAGTATGCATTGCTTAGGAATCGATGTGACTCTGTATGCAATGCATTGCTTCTTCAGTCATATTCGTCTGTCCTTTAGGGGCTCCTTATTCCCCCTGCTTCCTAGTCTGATCTTTCATGACATTTCTTTGAGGCATGCCACTCCTGCACAGAGGGTCATCCTCCTGCCGGCAATGGTCACTCTCTACTGGGATACACAATAGCCCTGGGTCATTTCCTGTGGCTTCTGGTGGCGCTCAGTGGCCAGATTCAGGTCCCTACACCACTTCTTCCATCCTTTGTCCGGTTTCAGTATGACATCTCTAGGGACTCCCAATATTCTTCTTCAGGTTCCATGTCCACTGAGGTTGGCTCCTCACATTCCAGGTGTGCCTCCACCGTTTCTTGGCATGTCATTGTCTCCTTTAGGCCATCCTTTATGTCTGCTATCCAGGCATCAACTGTTGATCTCATTTCTGCTTGACAAGACCGAATTTCTTCTCTGAGGCTTGCATGCATTCTTTCATTTTTGGCTGGCCAACAGACATTCTATCATCTGTTGAATCTGCATTTTCATATAACAGTGCTGCAAATATGCAGTTCATTCTTCAATCCAATAATCATTTCAGTCAATCAAATCCAACCAATTCTGACACCAGTTTTCACGTATCCTGGTAACGCGACAAATAATTAATGGGTTCTGGATTTGTATGAATCGCTTTATTGGATATTCACCAGGTGGAACTACAGTTAGTTGTAACACAATCTTACGGTAACTATAACACTTCATAACTATGAACAATGATAAAACTCTAAAGGTTACTTAACTACGCGACATAAAATAGAGAATTCACTTCTGACTTATTCTTTTGTGTACTGTCATATTCTGCCTTCTGTTGGTCAGTTCTGTCCCTGAGATAGGTTTTTGTTGAAATGTATGGAGATCACCTTCTTCTCTGTTACTGGTCTTTGCAGGTTTGTTACCATGTGAACGAAAAACATTTCTATATGCTTTGCCTAGGAATCGATGTGACTGTGTATGCAATGCATTGCCTCCTCAGTTGTATTTATTGCTGTGGAAATGTGTTCCAACAATTTTCCGTCCAGCAGTGGTGCCTTCTGTGTTGCCACGGGAACGTGCTCAGTGAAGCCCCGCCCAGCCAATGGGCATATTGCAGATTTCCGGCATCACATCACAATATATTTGTTTGTTTGCGTTTCTCAGCACATGAAATGCTGCTTGATTTGAGAACATGATTTTCTTCAACAAATTTTCATCATTACCTGATACCTGAAACCTGGAAATTGCATGATTTCATGCATTTAATCTGTATTTCTCTCCCAAGTGGCATAAACCCTGTTCATGTGTAATGTTTCTCTGTTTTTTTAATTTTACATTTTAATTTTAAATATGACTTATTTTCATTCATGGTATTGCATAGATTTATATTGCAATACAAATAAAACAGAGTTTACTGTCAGTCTTCTCTACCCGACGTTATGTTCACACTACTTGGTTGCAGGAACCATGTATGTCGATGGCAATGGTCCATACAGTGGAACAGCTCTTGGAAGATTCCAGGGGCTCGATTTGGTGGAACCACTATACGTAGGAGGAGTACCAGATTTCAGAAACATTCACAGACTCAGTGGATTCAATCGAGGCTTTGTTGGTAGGTTGTATGTTTTTGCACAATTACTCAAGGAAGAGCTTTATTTCAGAAAGATAAATGATTTTAATCTTATGATGCAGTTACTATGCCTCTTGAATCAGATCTATGCATGTAAACATAAGTGTAATAAATTTGTCTGATAATTTTCCTATCCAGAATGGTCTAAAATAAGGAGGTGCTTTCTTTTGTAGATTGTAAATATACCATCTGTAATGCAACAATAACCTTATATAAAAGACACAAAATATTTAATACATTAAAAGTGCTTGTTAAATACTTCAAAGTGTCATCAAACTTATACATTCATTCCTTATTGCAACATGTTTCAGCCTAACATGGACCATCAGCAGGCAACATTTTTTGTTACTAGGCAGATACTTTGTCTTCTATGTCCTTAGGCACATTGTTGTTTTTAATGTTTCTTTCATAGAATACTTCCATTGTATATTTTTTGCAGCTATTTCAGTCTTTTAATGTTGTTTACTTTGTTGTGTATGCTTTTAGTGCATACGCTATTCAGTTAGCAAAGAAATTACGTTATAATAAATTAATATCTCAGTCATCAAATAAAACAAAAACAGACTAGAATGTTATCAGATCCTTAACTAATAAACGATCTAATACTGAGGCTGAATTTAAGTTGATCATTGAAAGGAAACGAACTAAATATCCTCAAATTTTGGCAGATACTGTACGTATAATGATTACTTCTCTGAAGTTGTGGATAAATCTAGTATTAATATAATTAAACGACCACATTCAAATTAATCAACATTCATATTTGGAATACCTAGTACATGAATCTCACCAAACTTTCCTACCAATAAATTTCAAGCATGTTACTGAAAAAGAACTTTATGAGATAAACAAAATTTGAAATGGAAAAACTCTTGCGGCTATGATGAAGTACCATATAGGATAGTAAAATTGAGTATGCCATTTATATCATCTCCTCTGATTTATATTTGTAATACTGGCACGTTTCCAATATGTTTAAAATTTTCTCAAGTTTTTCCGATATTTAAAAAGGTAATAAAAGTTGAGATATGTGCTTATAGATGGATGTCCCTTTTAACATCTTTTCTAAAATTATTGAGAAAGTTATTTATAATAGAATACTTCAACATACTAAAGGAAATAATATAATTGCCTTGGATAAATATGGCTTCAAAAACAACAGTTCAACCGAATTGGCACTGTGCTCTTTGCTGATAAAAACAAAGTTAATACCATTCAAATACAGCATTTTTAGGTACAATGTAAGCATCCTAACAGGAACTGACATTTAAATGCAGAGCAGCAACAGGCATTTAAATGAACTCCGGCTAGCTCCAGCTACCACCATGTTAAAAGTCTGGCATTTGAAGGTTAAATCTTATTGAAGTGATAGGTATCAAAGAGTAACAATTAAGTCATCGTATGCCTCACATTATGTTTCAGCTAAGGAATTAGTTAAATATGGCATGGCCCAAGGGTCAGTACTTGTACCCTTATTGTTTCTATTTTATATAAATGATCTACCTCAGTTAGTAAAAGGCAAAGCCTTACCAGTACTTTCTGCAGATGATACTAGCTTTATAATATCAAATTCTGGTTCAGTGAAGATGGACCAAGATGTTAAACTAGTTCTGGAGATTACACAAAAATGGTTTAACTCAAACAGAATTCAATCCATTAAATTTTTAGGTATTATAATAGAATCTTCATTAACATGGAAAGAACATATTGATTATATATATTCAAAGTTAAATTCATTAGGTTACATGGTTTTGTTTACCTCAGACCTGTATTAGAATTGAAAATCCTGAAACAGATCTACTTCACCTATGTTCATTCAGCGTTAAATTGTGGTATCATGTTTTGGGGCAATTCACCTCTATTTTTATAACCCCAAAAAGAAATATAAGAATTATCATGAAAGCCAAAGCAAGGGATTCCTGTAGGGAAATGTTTAGTAAACTTGGAATTTTAACTCTTTATCCCCAATACATTTTTTCAACTCTTATGGTTGTTGTAAAGCATAAGGATTTATTCACAATAAATATTGAATTGCATAAAATAAATACCCACCAAAAATTGGACTTTCATGTTCCTTTAGTTAGTCTAACTAAAGTCCAAAAAGGAGTATGTTATTCCGGAATTACGTTATTTAACTCTCTACCCCTCAGTATCAAGCAAGTTGCACATGACATTAATAATTTTAATCATAAAGTGAGAAAGTTTCTTATAGAAACTTCTGTTGAAGAGTATCGTGATAGCAATAGTAAATTTGATCTTGGGGTATCCCAGTAATTGTAGCTTTGTATTTTAATTTTCATTCATATATATTGTCACGTGTTGGGTGTATAACGCGACAAATAATTTCACGCCATATTTGATATAGCGAATTTTATTCCACACTCGCTCATACCATCACACAATTTACAATCTCACAACTACTGCTATCTGCAGTATTACAGTTACTTGGCCTGCGAAGGCTAGACTACAACTGAAAGGTTGGCTGCCTGGCTAACTCGTAACTATCTCGTAAACTGCCCTGAGAACTCACTGTGAATAGTCTTCGCTGTTCCTTATTTAGCCCTGTTCCGGACAACACAGAAAACAGCCACGTAATAGGCACCACTGTTGTCTTGCGCCGTGTTGCTAGCAACACTGTCGGGAGTTGTTTATGGATGCATAGCAACCGTAGCATCCCTTGGTCACGTCACCGGTGGTGGGGTAGGGGAAGGAGTGTTGACTTGCCTATTACCCTAGTAATGACAGCGCTCTGATGGTGTTACATCACTGTTGGCGGGGGGGGGGTGTCCTGCATAGTGCAACACGTCACAATATTTTAAATGTTATTTATCTTATTTTAAGACAATCTTATGTAATATATCAGTGTATAATGTACTGACAATTTCTGTATCCACTGGTTATGTACCTCATGGATCAATGAATGACGATAAAAAATAAAAATAAATAAATGATGTACCTAATGGGACAGAAGGTAAAGTGGACAGTGCATTGGTCTCCCCAATAACAAAAAAAAAAATGTTGTCTGCTGATGTGTCCTTTGTATAAGGTTAATGTTGCATTACAGACAGTATACTTACAATCTAAAAATGATGCCACAGTGCAACAGAATACTGAAATATAATATAGGGAGATGATGTGTCGCAACTGCTTTTCAACTTTGCTTTAGAAGGTCAGGAAAAACCAAGTGGGACACATCAACTGTTGGATTGTGCTGATGATGTGAATCTACTGGGGTAATATATATATACCATAAAGAAAGACACAAACTTTAATTGGTGTTAGTAAGGAGGTTGGTGTCTTTAGTCCGCAAGTGAACTCTACCAACTGAGCGACCGCTGCTTGTTGGCAAAATTACTGCCAAGTTTAGCAGATAGAGGGTGTTACGTGGTCAGCACAAAAAATCCCCATGGCCATTAGTTTCGGTTTACTAGACCAGAGCCACTACTTTTCCCTTCAAGTAGCTCCTCAGTTATCCTCATGAGGCTGAGTGGACCCTGTTCCATACCCACTACTTGTCAGAAAATCTGATAGCCCCGGGAATTGAACCAGGAACTCTGACCACTAGACCACAGAGGCGATCAGAAATAAACACAGAGAAACTAAGTATATGTTGCTGTGTCATCACCAGAATGCAGGGCAAAATCATGACATGAAGATGGGTAACAGATGTTTTGGAAATGTGGCACAGTTCAGATATTTGGGAACGATTAAAACAAATCAAAATCTGATTCAGGAGGAATTTAAGAGGAGATTGAACTCAGGTAATGCTTGCTAGCATTGAGTCCAGAACCTTTTGTTTTCTCATCTGTCTAAAAACAAAAAGTAGAATATACAAAAGTATGATTTTGCCCGTGGTTCTGTATGGGTGTGAAACTTCGCCTCTGACATTAAGGGGGAAAATAGACTGAAGGTGTTTGAGCAGAAGGCATTGAGGAGAATATTTGGACCGAAGAGAGATGAAGTGACGGGAGGTTGGAGAAAACTGCATGAGGAGCTTCATAACTTGTACTCTTCTCCAAGTATAATTAGAATGGTCAAGTCAAAGAGGATGAGGTGGGCAGGGCTTGTAGCATGAATGGGGGAGAAGATGAATGCATATCGGATATTGGTAGGAAAGCCAGAAGGAAAGAGACCACTGGGAAGATCAAGACACAGGTGGGTGTACAATATTAAAATGGATCATAGAGAGATAGAATGGAATGGTATGAATTGGATTGATCTGACTCAGGATAGTGATCAGTGGAGGGCTCTTGTGAACACAGTAATGAGCCTTTGGGTTCCGTAAAATGCTGGAAAGCTCTTGAGTAGCTGCACAGTTGGTGGTTTCTCTAGAATGGCTCAGCTCCATGAGTGAGTGAGTGAGGGCATGTAATAAATATAAAGCAATTCAGTGTGTGCTAGCTCTTCTCTCCCAGAGCCCTCTCTTTTTGCTGACTTGCCTACCAGATCATCATTTCAGAAGTACACTTGACACCGCACTCTGTAATTTCCTCTTGCCATTGACATACCCAAATTTGTCAAAGGCACATGTGTGCACACCACAAAATTTCACCTTACTAAAAGGGGTAGAAAACCGTACATTGGCCATAAATATGTATCTACATATAAATCCTGGGCCTATATTATGTTCAGAATTGCATGTTAAAAGTAAGAGTAGGAAGGTGAGTTTATACAGTTATTACAGAAATGTAAGACAGAAATTAAAGTGAATAATAAACGTTTAAAATATAATAATTTATTTCATAATATCAACTTTTCTAACTATAACATACAAATAAACAGTTTGTTATAAAAATGCACAGCACCCATGATATCTTGTGGTGGCACACTTCTCTCTTATTTGGCAGCATTTCACATTAAAGAAATGAATAACAGACGATCTCCATATGCCAAAGAATTTGCAGAATGTATTCACATATATCATTTGATGACAGATGAAGTGACTACCTGCTGAGAGCTATTTCAGAGAGACGGTTTTTTGGCCTTGTCAAACTGTATTCCTAAACAATCAAAGTAACCTGTAGGAGTTTGATGTGACACATGTAAATGTTTAAGCATGTGGGAAAGTAAAATTTAGGGCAGTTTTAATTTAACCTCAAATGTGATATTGGCAGCACTGAAAAATACACCAGATTCAAGCAGTATGAATCTTCCCACATTTGTGCTGCATTGATTTTCATTTTCTTTGTTGTAGTGACGGTACTGTGGCATGTTTAACGTGGCTGCTCCTTGACAAGGACACCTGAGAATACCAGTAATCTGATTTAATTTTGTGGTTAGGGACTGCGAAGACCAGTGAAAGTTACAGAAGAGTTGCGTAATAGCTGTATGAACCATGAATGTGTCGAGTACTGAGGTTAAGGGAGCGGATCTGTATTTATGAAATTGCATCTGATATGGTGCAAGGTCATATATATTTGAGGTTCTCAAAGCCATGTTTATGAAACAGTTCTTTTTCCTGGTTACAATACCATGGTGTCCTTTGAAAGTAAGCTGATATTTCAGAGAAACGTATTGCAACAGTCTTCAGTGTTGAAGCAAGCTGCTGCCTGCCTCATGCTGTTTTCTTGCATCGCTTAATCTTTAATGCTGGAATTTGTGGTGACATGTTCCTCTGAAACATCAGTTGACTTTCAGACAGACTACATTGTGCTATATCCCAGAAGATAGAACTCTACAGTCTTAATTTTGCCTAAAACATTGTTCTCTATCCAGGATTGTACCTTATACAAGAACACACAGTTTTCTTTTGAGAGTAATTATACTTTATTGATAAAAGAATATTTATTTACACATTAATGTCTTCTGTGCTTCACCCTGCATTAATGCTTGTGTATTCAAGAAAAATAAATCTTTGGCACCTGTTGGGTCTTTGGAGATAATGGAATTGAAGTGATTTCTTCTGTACATAAGTTGGCTATGTTGTCAGGCTCCTAAGAATGGAAGTGCATGATAGAAACTGATCCTGCAATGCATTTCACTGTCTGCTGGCCCCAAAGCACTGCTTATATGAATTCAGATATGCAGTATTAAAATGTATTTTTTATTACTGACAGGTTGCATAAGTCGCCTTCTCATTGGGTCAGTTCACCATGAACTGGTACGTGATGCCACACTGAATCAGGGAGTCACAACTTGTGAGACTTGTGCAGTGAACCCTTGTTTGAACCAGGGGGTGTGCCAAGAAGCCACAGAACTGCAGGGATACTCATGCATCTGTCCTCCAGGCTTCAGCGGGCTCAACTGTGACCGGGTTGGTGAGGCGTGCTTTCCAGGTGAGTTCTCAGTGGTATCCATTTCAAAGCAGAAACATACACTATATCAGTCCACATGTGATCATTTTCAAGAATGCTCTTATGTTGTTTGCAGTAAAGGATATTTATATTTTCTGACAACAGATGTCAGCACTGAGTACTATTGCTTTATATTTAACCTGGTCTCCATGAGAGAATTAGAGGCAAACTACGGATGGATAGATCTCAAAAACTGGACATACGAAGGCTTACCGCAGGGTAGTGTTCTGAGTCCAACCTTATGTTCACTTTATATGGCAGGACTGAAATCCAAAATCAACCGTAACTGCAAACTCCTCGAATACGCAGACAGTGTGGCAGTTTATTCAGTTAACAGATGTAGCAGAATTGTCATATCGGAAGTGGAAAAGAGCATACAAAGCACCAGAAAAACGTCAACCATGTATCTTCGATAAAAAAAAGGGACAACTGATGGAGAGTGGGAGATCACGGTACAAGGGGAAAAGGTTTCTTCAGTCAAATCAATAAAATTTTTAGGTCTGCACTTAAAATCTAATCTAGACTGGGAGGATGAAATAAACTCAATAGTTAGGAAATACGAAAACCTGATGAAAGTCTTGAATTGTGTGAAGCACACTTGGTGGGGAGCAGACTCTACAAGGCACTTATAAGGTCGAGGATGGAATATGGAGCATTTTATTCCATAAAGTTAAGAAGAAACAAGTACAGAAGCTAGAGAACACACAATATAGGGCAGTATGCGGAGCACTGGGCTACAGGAGTAGCACCCCAACCAATGTAATGCTAGCAGAAGCCAAGGAAATCGTAGGTTTTAGTAGATTCAAACAGTTGGGAAGGAACTATATGTCCAGGTGTTATACATCAAGGAACAATCCAATGTTCCAGCTGCTGGAAGAATTATCAGCTCTACTTGACACTCCAGGGAGAGGAGAAAATGAACAACCCCTTATCAGCGAATATTACAAAGAGCCACTCTCAGTCATTTAATCCAATCAGAGAACTGTCCCCTGGCCTTTGTCTACACATACGGAAGCCTCTTCTATGAGGCCAGGGTTTGATGAGGGAAGACAAATAAAGGAAGCAGAGGATCACAACAAGAAATTCAACAAGATTTTCCAAGAAAGAATGAGGACCAGCAAATGTTTTGCCATGGACGTCTGAAAAATGGAGGACACACCATTTGTAGGATTCGCATCGATAGATATAAAAGATTGTCATAGCATAAAATTCAGGATATCTAAGATAATGTCCATATTCATGGCGGAAGCATTAGCAATTACCAAAACACTAGATATCATTGAAAAAATGGAATCGGAGAAGAACTTCATGATTTTCTCGTACTCAGCAAGTGTGTTAAAAGGAATTAGTAACTCCCCTACACATCGCACATTACACAAATACTTAAAGATAACATAGACTGGAATCGTGGGGAAAAAAATCCTATTTTACCGGATCCCGGGGCACTGTGAAGTGGAAGTTAATGAGGGGCGGACTTGGAGGCAAAGCAAGCAATCAAAAAAGGCAGAGATAGTCAATTATTATTACCAGTAACAGATCTGAAAACTCAGTGGAAAAAGAAAGGCAAAGAAGAACTTCACAGTTTTTGTCAAAACACCAAACAGGACAGAGGAGAGAGCTACTTTGGAAGGTGCTGCAGGAAAGGCTTGTCTCCGGGGTTCCGCGAAATAAAAATGAACCGTCGTGCCTTCGTGTCAATAAACCGTACGAGAGCAGGTCACTCAGTGTTAAAGCAAGCCTAAACAGATTTAACATTGTGACCAAAGCCGAATGCGAATGTGGTGATGGGCTGCAAACGGAGGAACATATCTTCTGGGACTATAAACAGTACGAGGACCAAAGGGCCACAATGATGGACATCTTGTGTGAGAACAGCAAAAAGCATTACCCAGAATCGGTTACAGAGCTCTTAAGGCTGGAAGAAAAAAGATTTGTGCAAGGCGTCTGTTACTTCATGAACAACATTCCTATATTTATATGAAATAGATATGTAAGAAAAGTAAAAGAAGTAACTGCACTGATTATTTACAGAATACACACAGATTTAAGTCAAGATCTATATTAACAATTGCGGGGCTACCACTGTTATTGAATAAGATGTTTATTAGAATGTGCTACAGAAGGCCAGATGGGCATTGCCTAGGCCTCTTTTGTATTTACATTTTTTCCTTACAATTAAAAAAAAAACTCCAGAGAAAAGAGCTGTATAGTGTGCGTCTGTGTACATATGTAGTGACAGAGATGTCTGTATGTTAATCAGGACACCATTTATGTTATAGGAGCATGTGGAGTTGGGCGGTGTATTAACAGAGATGAAGGTTTTGAGTGCCTGTGTCCATTTGGCAAGCAGGGAGCACACTGTGAAAATGACATCGATATCTCAGAACCAGCCTTTGCAGATGATGCTTATGTCTCCTATCCGACACCCAAAGCTCTTCGCAGGTGAGGTCATAAACAGATCCTCTTTCTCTTGTTTGGTGATAACAAATTTTCTTTGTAATCATATAGCTTACATTCTTACTAGGTTAAAAATGGCCCTAAAGTTCAACCCTGCAGATGCTCAGGATGGACTACTGATGTACTGTGCACAAAGTGAGGATGGCCAGGGAGACTTCACGTCGCTAGCAATCCGAGACAAGCGACTGGAGTTCAGGTTTGATACTGGCTCTGGTAAGTTGATATTTAATCTGCATATACGAGTATCATTTGTATTGTATAGTTTTGAGAGTGTGAGACAGGTGGGGAACAGAGCTGCCTTATTACAAAAGTATGGAAACATTAATTGCAGCATGATATTCTTATTTACTTTTGAAGTAACCAGTGTAGTAGATCTGGATTTAAGGAATGGGAAACATTAATTAACCCTTTCCAGAAAAGAGGTCTGTGTCTTCTGGCATGTCCAGTAAATGGAACTCCACCTCAGACTGGGTCAGTTTCTGCATGCGTGCGTGATCTGTTTAAATGAACATTCTGCTCTCTTGAAACCAACAACTGCTCCCAAAATTTGGAATTACTTCTTCATCACACTCCCTCATTTCAGCCCTTACATCTTCTGCACTGAGAAAAAGTGTGGTTATCATGTGACTGTTGAAATTGACAAACTCCAGTTGTGGTTGCTTGGTTTTCTAAAACATTTTGCCCACCTATTCTGTTTTCTTTCACATTCCAGTCACTCCAGTCTAGCTTTACTGGACCAGTGTGCTGTGGTTTCAGGATTCATGGATCACTGTGCTGGTTTTACATGGTGGATAGCCTGAAGGACAGAACTTCAGCTCTGCTTTCCCTTCCAGTGCAGCTCTTACCTTCTGCACTGTACTTCTCTGTGCTTGGCTTTTGTAAAGTTGATGCAGTATATAGATTAAGGGGCTGCAGCAGGCTGGTGCAGCGAAGGGGAAGGAAAACAATCTTGACATGCTGATATATTGGGTTTTTGGACTTTATCCATCGTCCTGGTTTTTAAGATAACTAATAAAAACACGATGTTTCGGAAACTGGATCTGTTTCCCAAACATCGTGTTTTTATTAGTTATCTTAAAAACCAGGATGATGGATAAAGTCCAAAAACCCAATATATCAGCATGTCNGTGTGTTATACACCATCGTCAGAATCCTATAGTAACTAATCTTGACATGTCTTAAATTTGTATTGTTTTGGACAGGATGCACACTTTTCCACAAACAGTAGGACTTTCATTTCAACAACCCCCATCCTTGCATTGAAACTTTTGATAAATTGATAAATATGTTTTATATAATCCATGCTTTTCCTATTATTTATATTCATGCATGACAATGAAGATACATTTTTAAAATATTTTTAAAACACCTTGGTTTTGCATGCTTCTCATTAATGAGTGGTTTAAGTTCCCATTATAGCTGGAATTGCAACACAGCAGTGTAGTAAGACATTCTTTGATTCTCTTTTTTGCCACTATGTTGTTGATCTCCTTTCACACTGAATGGTTTTCAGGGAGGTAAAATGTAAAGTGGTGCTTTTTCATAAGCATTGATTTTAAGGTTTTAGAAAACCAAGCATGGATTCCCTCCAATTCATGCTTTAGTTTTGCCACGTGCATTATATAAGTAGTATCATGATGAAAGATTTGAGGATTTGAGGCGATACGTTCCTCCAAAATGTTGGTCAACATAATATCCACATGGTGCCAAATCCCAGAAGACTGCTTTCTCCTTAGTAGTATGGTGGTTCTTGAATCAATTAACCTATTTATTTGAGACGTTAAGATTTTCTGGTTTCAGTTTCAAGGTCATTTTAGTGGCATTCTCCTGCTGGATATGCTGTGTGAACAATTTCAGAATTCTTTATGTCTTGAAGCCTTAATGTATCACACTTTTGCACTTGTGCTCCAGCCCTACTTTCGCCTTTAAGACTGTATGCTCCTTGTAATGGTATGCTTTACCACATTAATTCGTGACACCTGGATTTTCCCCACATCCTTGTTAATTCTAATTTTAGTTCCTTACATTTCATTGCCATGACCGTTCATTATTTTAAAGTCACTTTCATGGTACTGAAGTGTACAAGGACACAATCCTTGCTATAAGCAGAAAGAGAACACACACTAGCAAGTACTTCCTAACAGTGCAACATTCACAGAAGGAGACACTTGCCAGACTCGAGGATCACACTTTGTTAGAGCTGCCATTGGCAGGTATACAGTGTGCATGATGATCTTGAATGGCTGAATGTTGTCAGCACTAAATTAGAGCGCACAAACAGCTTCCCTTCAATACTGAACTGAGGCCTGAAGCTTATTTATGAATGGACTTTCTTACATAAAGTTACGCTTCCATAATTTTACTTTGAAGGGGTCAGGGAAGATACAGTATCAAACATTCAGACATTAAACTACAACTGTTACAGTTTAATTTACCACTGAGATGTGTTAGACATGTGCACTCCTGTTAATTCTGTATTCATCAAGTTGGTGTTCCAGTTCCATCCGTACATTCTGTGGCGAAGTAATTGTTTTTCCTGTACGTAAACAACCTATCTCATAGAACTGTTTGTAAAATGCATAAATGGATGACTTAGAAAGTGGATCCACTCCAGATTCTGTCTGATAGCATTATTGCACTTGTTTTACACAGAGCACACTTTTTGCACAAGGGCCACTGTGTTCTTGATTAGCAGATTATTAGCAGATATTTGTTGCAGCTGTATATGCATGCTTCAGTTAAAAAATTTGCCAGTTGTAATCTAGTGTCAGAAATTTTGGATGTATTATCTTGACTCATTGTTCCATAATATATTTCCAAATATGTAAAGATCAGTTTGATTTGTTTCATTCTGGTCCGTCACATTAACAATTACAAAGTTGAGGATGGTCCACAGAGACCGAAATATGTAAGGGTGTTAAGTTTTTATGTAGTAAAAGACTTACAGGTCACATTGGACGGAGTGATTTATACTATGTAAAGATCATATGTGCCAACCTTGTGTGTTAGTTCATTGGAGCTTCAGCAAGGACCACAGAAGGTCCCCAAAATGCTGGAAAACCTGTAATGCAAGAGCCTGAAGATGGGTTTTCCCCTCTATGTTTTAAAGTCAAATTAAAATAGGTCCAGTCACCTCAGTGAATATGTAGATCCTCTCATTCCCTGTTAATCGGAGCAAGTTCCTATGTGGTCTTGGTTTTTTGGTTCTTGCACTCTTCTCGTTTTGTTTCATGTAACTAAAGCAAATCAGTACAGAACTAGAATGGAAGGTTTACACAGGACATTTCCAGGAATGATTAAATTGAAGAAAGCAGTTTTCTGGGATTTGGCACCGTGTATATGTGGTGTTAACCGACGTTTCGGAGGAACGTATCGCCTCCATCTTCAGGGTAGAAGAAAAAATATAAGAAATCTGCAAGTGAAGAGACTGTGAGAACCGGTAAAAGCAGACTGTAGTCACCGCTGTGAAAGCCTCAAATCTTACATAATGATTAAATTGTTTCCCAACAGGTCCAGCTGTGATTCGTAGTGAGAGAGAAGTGACACCTGGGGAATGGACTACAGTTTCTGTGGGTCGTAATTTCCGAGAAGGTCAGATTATAGTTAATGATGGTGCTCCAGTAGTCGGTCAGTCTCCTGGTCAGACACGAGGACTGAACCTCAAGACTCCGCTCTATGTTGGTGGTTATGACAAGCAACGCATTCGTCTTGCTGATGGTGTTGGTGTTAAGAAGGGTTTCAGCGGTTGTGTTAGAGAGGTAAAATTTATATAAAAATTGGCTTTATTATGGCTGAAATTGAAAATTTTAATAAATTTACACTTACCAACTCTATAAACATGTTTTCCTCTTATAACAAGAATAGAATGATTGGAATTAGGTATGTGATGATCTTTATCTGTCAAACAATTTCAATCCTTTGTATTTTTCTAATCCATATAGTTTCAGAACTAAGAATCTAGGAGACTTTAGATAGAGATCATGCCTTAGCTGAGGCAGTTAGTTGCTGGCTTCCCATCATGGCAGCCCAGGTTTGATGCCAGGTCATGTGGGATTTATGGTATAAAAAGTGGCACTGGGGCATGTTTTCTCCAAGTAGTTTGGTTTGTCATCGTCATCGTTCATCTGGGTATGGTGCAGTGGCCCAAATAGTTGCTGACATACCAAGTGGATTCATTCTCACCCCACCCCAAGAAATAATTAAGAGACTCTAGGTACATGTTTCTCTTTTAGGTTGGTAGGTTAGTAATATGCAAACAGTGATACCTTGACCCTAAACATGGAAGCCTTCAATGTGCAACAAAATTTTCACTGTTGAAAGCATCTGTGGCTAGAATTCAGAGATAATTATGTACAGAAGAATTCCATCTTCTCAAATACCACATCATGCACAGAGGATGTGATGTAGTGATCAGCTTCATCTCTCTGCCGCATTACCCCAGACGAAAGGGTTTTACAGATTGTTCTAATTTTATGACAACATGGCTCAGTAATAAAATATCACACTAATATAAAGAGGAATTGATATTAAACATACTAAGGTTCTGTAGGTGCACACAAGGATTGCATCAGACAATTCCCTTGTTTTGTATTATCTTGTTCTTTTTGGGGGCGGGGGTGTGTATCTGTTCTTTGTCATGCCTCTGTTTTACTCTAATGGCCTGTTAACTAAATCTATGGTGCAAGATTCATTACTATAGTCATGAAAGCCTGCCATTTGATCCTTCCTAAGCCAATTTAATCCCTTCCAATCCTTCACAACGATGTTTGTAAGATATATGTTGTGTCTTCTGCGTTATGACGGTGGGTACCAGTATTTTGGCGGAATGTATTGACTCCATCTTCAGGCTAGACATGAGGTAAGTTGGGAAAGCGGTGGGTTATGTAGATGCTGGGGAAAGAAATAGCATGTTGGAACTCAGGTTGGGAAATGTAGACGTGACCCATATAGACCAGTCAGAAACCGTAGACCCTGAAGAGAACAAGTGCTCCAGGACCAGCTGAATAAACATGAAATTAGGAGCAATAGACTTGGAAGGAAGAGTAATTACTCCAAGAGACGACTTCTTTTCGTATTCTCAGTTTGTGTTCTTCTCTTCAAAGAAGGAACCAAATTTTACTAAAACAGTATATAAAATTATAGTATTGTAAATTGTGATCATTGGGTTTGTAGAAAGGACATCAAAAAATAAAAAATGTTGAACCGACCAGTAGGAACCATTTCCTGAGTTTAGCTTGCTCTTAAATCTCCTCATTAATGTAATTTCGATTTGTTATTAGCATTTCCAAGCACAATGAATTCCATAGCATTTCCAAGCACAGTGAATTCCAGGTGACAAGTTTGTATATGCAGCCTTTCCCTGTATGAAATTCAGTACTTGAAGTCTTACCATTATTGCGGAAGAGATGTGTTGAGAAAATTCACCACATAGAGTTCCAGTCTGTAATATTTAGCCATGTTAAACAAGTCTGAAATATACATATTTGTAGGTTATATGTTAGGGTTGATGTCCTTAAGACGTATTTTCAAGTGACACACAAAATTTGTTTCAACTCACATTCAGTTCATGTAGATGGCTGTTTTACGTAAAAGCATCCTTTCCTGATAAATTAGAAAAGGAAATGACAATTATGCATGATTGTGCATTGTTTTCACCATCTGCATGTAGGGATGAGTGTATATGAGTCATTTTTGGGAGCATTTACTCCGTTTTGGAAGACTTTGTTGACTCATAGATGTAGATCATGATCACTTTGCACTCTGTTATTGTTCATTTTCCAGATTCAGATGTCAGGTGAGAAACTAGACATTGTTGGTTCAGTGGTGGATGCAGCAAATGTTCAGGACTGTGGCAGTCTGTATAGAAGAAATCATTATACAACAGCTTCACCTTGTGATCGTAACCCCTGTCTCAATGGTGGCACATGCAGACTGATAGACTCCATTGGACACTACAACTGCACATGTCAAGATGGTTTCAGGTGAGAACAATGTAGATGAATGTCTATCACTACTGATATAGTTGTGTTAGGGATGAAACATTTCTCTCTCTCAAAATCATGGTCAGTGTATACAGGGATCATTAAATGTATAAAATGTTATTAAAATGTATATGCTGCTACATGTTTCAGCCTTATAAGGCCATCTTCCGGCAACAATTATTTAAGAATTCTAATTCTGCTATGACATGTAAGTACAAAATACTTCATCTAGATACACAAAGATAGTATAACCAAGCATTAAAAACAAATTACATTAATAACATGTGTTACGCATTGCAGAGAAACAGCCACTATTCAAAAAGATCAAAAAGATATGAAGGAATGACATATTTTAAGAATGCTATATGATTAGTGTACAGTGAATTAGAATCCTGAAATAAGTGTTCCGTGAAGATGGCCTTGTTAGGCCGAAATATGTAGTAGCATATTTTAACATTTTTTACATTTAATGATTATTTTGTGAATTAATGTTATTAATTTGTTGCATTATAGATTGAAAAAGAAGAAGACTGTGGAAAATAATTAAGAGTGTTTTTGCAATAAGAAATAAGTAGCTGACTGTACTGAAAGAAAAGCAGTTATGAATATGTGGCTTAAGATTGTGCCGAATGGTAAACTTTGATATTATCAGTGGATTTAGTTATGAGAGACTGTGGCATTCAGCATGAAGGTGAAAGGGGCTGTACATCTGTTTACTGTGTTGCAGTGGACAGCACTGTGAGCTGGAAGCAGATCTGTGTGTTGCTCTTTACCCATGTCACAATGGTGGTCAGTGTGTAGGAACTCCCAATTCATACAAATGTAGATGTCCAACAGGCTATGGAGGCACCAACTGTGAGCAGGGTATGTTTTAAGGCCGAATATCTAAAGAAAGAGTTAGAAGAGGTTCAATTTGTAATTTGTTTTCCTTCTCTTTTAATAATAATTTCAACCAGCTTACCACTTTTCATGTAAATTGGAAACATCACAGGTATTTGCCTTCATGCTATAGTCTTATGTTACCAACAAAATATCAGCATGGCAACCAAAGAGAGAGCTAATCTTTCCAGTAATTATCAGTCAATTATCTGTTTTCAAGATAATACTGTAGCAGCTTTTTGTGTGTCATACAGGTAAGAATGCATGTCTTTGTTCCTTTCACAGCCTCATTAATTCCAGCTGAGGTAAAATTGATCGTGACATTTTTGTATGTTAGTAAATGTTTCAAAGACATGTTTCGTGACAAACAGCTGCTGAATTCTCATCAGAAGTCAGCTTCCAAGGTGATGGCTACATTGAACTGAGCAACTCTCTGTTGCCCCACAAGACGCCCACAGAGAACGAAGTAATTACTCTTGAGTTCTCCACCACTGAGCCTAATGGACTTATCTTTTGGCATGGGCAGACACCAGACACTGATGGACGAACACAGCAGGATTATGTTGCTCTAGCTGGTGAGTAACATTGCTCACATTGTCTCCAAATGGTGGCAGATGTACTTGAGGAATGCTGTCTTGATATTTCAGAACAAAGCTCTGAAAAAAATGTTGGTACATTAGAGGTCAGTGCTTAAGTTAAGGAGAGTAAGATGAACAGGGCATGCAGTTTGCATGAACGAGATACAGCATATACATTGTGGTTGCAAAATCTTGGAGAAAGAGGGGAGAGGTGGTTACCTCTTGAGGGAAGAAGCTTTGTAGGGGAGGATAGTAATGACATTTGTCATAATGGACAGTCTTTTGCAATGAAAAATGAACTGATAGTATAAAGCCTTTGTGGGTGTGATGCTGTATAGCTTACATTTACATTTATTTATTTCATGGATCCAATCATCTCCCCCCTAGAGCTGGATATAAAACATGTCGCATATTAAAAATTTATGATGACTACACATCATCCATCCTTGGTCCAATAAAATATAAAATCAAGCCTGAGACAGAATAGCTCAAGTTGTCAGGACAACACACACAGGTCATGGAGAAACCACAATCAAATTCACACCTTGCCATTCCACACACACTGGCAAGCCATATCATCCAAACAGTTACATTACAGAATATTAAAATTCACAACAAAAAACAGACATCAGCTGATGTGAT